TCACAAGTTGCCTGCCAGTCAAATTCTGGCTTCAGCCTAATCTGCTAATGTTTTTTTTTTCTTCCTCTGTGTGCACTAGTCATCCTGCTCATTTTTCACTTCAGTAACACAGAAGGGGAAAAAATTTCCTTTAAAAAATAGTGGTTTTCATTTTAAGTCATTATATGTTTCATTTTGTATTTTAACAGTTGTGGATGAGTCTGTTTGCAATTAGCAACTTATGCCACTAGCTGTCGCTGCATCATATCACACTTTAAAGAAAACATATGAGATAATAGATAGAAAATAGCCCACTTCATCTTTAATCATACCKCCACCACTAAAGACATTTGTACTGGATGATTGTAGCACAGATTTGCTAACCCTCCACATTTTAGACAGGAAATGAACACTATCAGCAATAAAATGCAAATGAAATCTAACTTTACTGCACTTACTGAGGTTATTGCTCGTGCAGATGTTGCATCATTGAAGGCTAATATATTGGTCATGCATTTTACAGATGGGGAGCATCATTTGAGTGTGAGTTGTATCGTCTTGCAGCTCCATTTATCAACTGACATTATTTTTGCATGGGTGTTTTTATTACCCAAGGCATACCTCACTGAGTAAAAAATTGTCTTATTGTAGCTGGCAGCTCATACAAATAACAGAGCATATATATATCAAAGACACTCTATTGTCTGTTGTTCTTTTTTACTAAAAAGTCTAATTCATTTTGATTACTGCAGTGGTTTCTGTTGATGAAAGAGAGTTATTTATCTGCCTCTTTGTATTAACTGACAATTGAGACATTCATTGTCTTTGCAGTAAATTGGCTACATATCTCAGAGCTGCAAAATGCTTCCCTTGTTTGAAAATCAATCTAGTGGWGGGGAAAGACTGATGCAACAGAGTGGAGTACTTGGGGGACCTGAAATTTGAAACCATGAATTATTCATTTTAAGTATGTTAATGAAAGTGAAAAGGGGTTCCCTATCTTTTATAATCTGTGCAGCTAGAGCAATGGGACCCTCAAGCAGTGGGGACTCGCAAGCCGACATGGTTTTTGGGATACTCTGACATAAAAAGAAAAAAGAAGGTTGAAATGTTCCTATAAATTTAAAAATGAACTTTTTAAACACAACTACTACATTGGTGCTTTATATATATTCAGGAAGGCAATCCATAAGTTGTTGTTTGGCAAATGGTAGAAGCCATTTCTCCAGTGCCTTGGAACTAAAGGTCGACTGATGCATTGGCAAACGGATATTTTTGTCTGATATTTCTCTTATTTTTTGTATCTGTGTCGGCCGATACATACATGCATTTGGCCGGTTCAGCAGCCATGCCTTGAGATCACGTGAGCACATGCATTGTGTCTCTGTCCCTGGGAGAGAGCAGCTGGTAATGTAAGACAGAGTGCCAACAGCAATAGGGGGAGTTTTTAACTTTTAATGTATTTTAACTGTCTAATTTAGCTGTATCTGTCTCGGAGAGAGACCTAGCCAGG